TGAGGATGGAGTAATTGTCATGAACAAAGCACGATTGGTAGCCAAAGGTCATTGTCAAGAAGAAGGGATAGATTTTGATGAAACATTCGCTCCAGTTGCCAAACTTGAAGCAATCCGAATATTTCTCGCCTATGGTGCCCATAAGAACTTCAAAGTATTTCAAATAGACGTAAAGAGTGCGTTTCTAAATGGACTTCTTGAAGAAGAAGTCTATGTGGAACAACCTCCAGGGTTCATATCTGACATAGAGAGTGATAATGTATATCACTTAAAGAAAGCACTATATGGTCTAAAACAAGCACCACGAGCGTGGTATGATACTCTATCATACTTCCTTATCAACTGTGGATTCTCGGAAGGGGTGGTTGATAAAACCCTCTTTCGTATCAAGGATGGTGACCATATTCTACTTGTGCAAATATACATTGATGATATCATTTTCGGATGTACAAATCCAGATTTGTGTGATAAGTTCTCAAAACTCATGCAAGGAAAATTCGAAATGAGCATGATGGGAGAACTAAACTACTTTCTTAGGTTACAAGTTAAACAATTGGTTTCGTTGCCCTTTCGTAATTACGTTAAGGATTTTTGATGTGTAACAAAATCCTTGTTCTAAGTCTTCTATGGTCATCAATAATAAAACATCTATGCTTCGGGTTTATGTTTATCTCTGCTTGAACGAAACTTTATTTGTTTCGTATCTCTCTTAAGCACGAATCATCTCAGAACTGACACCATATCCGTATATGCTTAAGCAAATAAGTCAGGAATATCTCCGAAAGTTGCTATATTGGTCTTGGAAACAACAAATATTCTCTCGTCAGTCGAGGCCTTATTGATTGCAACTAAGATCCGAAGTTTCAGTGAACCATCACTCTGATATGTCTCGTCATAAAGACATCACAGCCCATGATCTTCATCTATCTATATAAAGGAAGTGCATCAACAAGAGTTCAAATACATCAAACTCTTCAAATGGACAAAGGAAAGAAGGTTGCATAATCAATGGTGCATAGCGACGAAGCAAAGCATGAACGAAAAAAGTTAAGGAGAATCAGAGATGCATAAGAAAATCCTTGCCATGGAGAAAGTTCAGAAAATCGATTGAGCTCCACTGTTGTTGAAAACGTTTTTCCAGCACCTACCCCGAATGAAGCTCCACCTCCAATCACTCAATCTGAAGCTCTCTCGACCAAAAGGCGCATTGAGACATACATGAACAACCCTCTGTACGATAGGGACTATGTGATGTGGTTTCGAGATCTTCCCTACAATGACCTCAACAGTGAAGAAGACGAAGACACCAATACTGAATTCGACTCTGTTCTGACAGACCTTCTTGCTTTTGAACTCTTCCGCAAAGATTACATTGAGTAACGAACTTTCGAGCTGAAGAAGGGAAAAACCAAGAAGTAAAGAAAAAGGGAAGATTTGGAATCATCTATCATTCTATAGAATGTTATGTGATTTATTGAGATGATAAGTCTGTTCTGTGCCTCTATGTTTCATGTGTTCAATATAATTAATCATCTCTATGTTTCGTGTTTAAAATGATAACATCTTCAAAACATCTTCATACGAAAGAACAATAATCGACTTCATGAAACTTTATTTGTTTCGTGGGAAATCGTGAACTTATGGCTATCTCTTAATCAAGATATCACCATTCGAAGATCAAACGGTTCTTTGAAGAAGTCTTTACCCTAACTGTTCAATGATGTTAGTGGAGAACATCGTGTAGCCGAGAAAATCGGCCCACTAACTCATGATCACACCTGATCATGTCAGTGGAAAGGACATGCCTTTAATGCCCATGTCACGTACTCGAGTGGATTTCTCTCTCTTCATTTAATTTGGAATGATCACTTTTGATCTGGTATCTCCCTTATCAGATGAATTCCATAGAAATATTGCCTTATATGCAAAATTTGTCAGACTTGACCCAAGTCCAATTTGAGACTTACCCATACCCTTTCAAATTCAAACTCCGGGTTTCCTATTGACCCGATCCTAAGAAACCGGGTATTCACTATTTAACCTAAGTTCTTATTCCCATAACCCTTTCTTCTCCACTATGTTTCTTGGCATTCCTCTCAAATCTTCATCCAGAATCTCTACACTTTTCTCTCCAAACGGCACAAATGGCGAAGAAATAAAAAACCAAACCTTCCACACAAGTTGTTGAATCCTCACCCACTGAAAAGCTTCCATCTTTCCCCACCTCCGACGAGGCCTTAATCAGATCAAGATAACACTATATCGCTAGTGGCTACATGTGGGATGCACACGGCTTTCTTCAATATGTTCTGAACAAGAAATTTGGTGACATGGTCATCCGGTTGCTCAAAGAAAGTGGTTTGTATAATTTTGTTACTCACGTCTACACTTTCTTCTATCCATTTAATTTGATGTTACGCAGTTATATTTGAATGCGACAGTATCCTCAGATGCATCAGTGATCACATTTGAAGAATGGAATGGCCATCTCCATAACTTTAGACGACATCAAGAAGGTGTTTGACTTTCCTGACAGAGATGAATCTTACAACCCAAATCTCTCACTGTATTTCTTTGATCAACATGCCTTCTATGGCCATATTAAACATGCTAGAAGCAGATTTGATGTCAAATGGCCCTTGAAGAAGAAATGGTTCAAATTGGACTATGAGTTCACTGCGGACATCTTCAAAAAGATAGTAGATCACAAAACATCCGGAACAGATGATGTCACACAAGAAAAGTTGAAGATGATCCATGCTTTCTTGTATGGACACAAGGTTGACTGGTGGAAAGTTGTTTTTGACCATCTGAAAGTTCATATCACAGTAGGCAAAACCTCGGACGGTGACATATGGAGAAAGGTTGTTTTCGGTCTCATGATAGGTCACTTACTATAATTCAAGAAAGTTGTATTGAGAGAAGGGACTCAGCCTGGTCCGAAAGTATGCCACATGAAGTCTAAGCCACTGGGCTATGACAAACAACAAGCCATAGAGTTGGGTTTGCCTATTCCTGAGTCCAAATCCAAAAAGACGTCCAAACGGAAGACTATCTCCGAAACTGATCAGCCAACACCAAAACGACAAAGGCGAGCACGAAAGGTCAAGCAATCATCCGATGAAGTTTCGTCACCCTCTCTTTCTACTGCCCAAGAGGATCTGATTCTTCATGAGTCACCAAAGACCTTAGCCAAAGTTTTGACACCACCTTCAGCCCATCTCGAAACTGCAAAAGTCTTGGCAGACGAACCTATGCAGCAAACTGCTACACTAGAAGAGAAAGTCTCACACAAATCTGTACAAGTACATCACATCAGAAGTTCAGAACAAACGCAAATAGAAGACTCGTCTGAAGGAGAATGTTCAGAAGTAGGTCGGGCTGCCAAAGTCAAGGCACAATTTAGACCAATCCATGATAAAGCACAAGAAATCATGCTTCGGTTAGCTCCACCTCCTCCTTCAACTCTCTCAAAACTAAAGAGAAAGTCAGTTACTCCTCCGTCTACTGCTCAGGGGGAAGAAAAATCCGAAAGTTTTTCTAAAGCCAAACAACTCACTCAAGCCCTTGCCATTGTGCGGGAAATGAAGAAGCGAAAGATCACCACTAAAGTTCCTTGCCACAAGAACCTACCATTGCAGAGCAGGTCCACCCGATTCTGACGCAAGAACCTGAAATGGTAGAAAAGGACAAGTGTGTGCATTCTTCTTCCACTGATCTCTTAAGTCTCCCACAAGAACCTGGCTTGCCAGAAGAGACAAAATAAGATATCAATGAGACCAGACCAACTCCACCCCCACATGAAGATCAACTACTTCGACAAGCTATATTCGAGGATTATCAACGCGTTCTGAGATGGCAGAAATGGCGTACATCTCCTCTCGATCTCTTTCTTGCTAAACTTGATGAAATGAAAGAAGAGGAAGTTTTTGCCTTAAAATGGCTTTGCACAAAGGATGTTTACGAAGCCGTAATGCTTCCAAAAATCACTCGGGCGTATTCATACAAGCTTACAGACCGTAGCATTGCGAAAGGAAAAGCTGCGATCAGTCTCGATATCCAGAAACCTCTGCTTGATGATCCGGTCTTCGAAGCAGAAATGAAGGATCTAAGGGACGCCATGAGATTGTCCAAGATTAAAATGGAGCTTGAGAAGCTACATAAGAATGATCCTCTCTGCAGCACTAGTGGCACGCACTAGTACAGAAACAGTCATTCGCGTCCAAAGTTAAGGCTAATTCGCGTCCAAAGTTGCTTGGACGCAGATGTCGGGGACGCTGATTGTATAAACAATCAGCGTCCAAAGTAGCTTTGGACGCGCAAAATGATTATTCGCGTCCAAAGTTGAAGAACTTTGGACGCGAAAAATGATAATTCGCGTCCAAAGTTCGTGAACTTTGGACGCGTATAGTGTTTATTTATTTTTTAAAAAATACTATATGCGTCCAAAGTTTCTGAACTTTGGACGCGTATAGTAAAAAAAAATTAAAAAAAATATTTTTTTTTATAAAACTACCAATATTTTCCTGTACATCTCAGCATAACTACCAAATAATATATTTCAACATTAATCAAATATTTTCCTGTACATTCCAGCATAACTACCAAATAATATATTTCAACATTAATCAATTTAAGATGTACACTACACACCAATTCTATCAACTACAACACACCAATCTAAAATTTCAATTCTAATAACATTTTACTACAAATTCTAAATGTTAACAATTAAAGTAAACTATTAACCATACCATCTACAAATCAACAATACCCTCCCCTCCCCATTGTTTAATTTTATTAAAAACAATTTAAAATAAATAAATAAATAAACAAGTGCCTAGCAATTTTTTCAACATTGCATATTAGTGAAAGAAGTGTTTTTGGTCCCAGGTAAGGGAGACATGAAGTATTCACAAACATAATCATAGAAGTACTGAGGATGGTCATCCACAGAGCCAGTCATTACTAGGGAGTACTTTGTTGTTTTCTTTTAATTGGTAACATAAAAAATTGGATCACTACTCAATTTATATATATAATTCTGGTATAGGTGCAATGCTATCTTCTCTGTGTAGTTCCAATATTATCAGAGACATCCTAGAAGGGGCAACTACAAGGACACAACTACAAATCAGAAAATTATATCATCAAACTAAGTAAGGATTCTCTGGAACTACTTTTGATTTCACAGAAATAATTAGACTGGAAGAATTAATATGGTTTAGGAAATATCCTTAATTTAACAAGAGAACAGAATCACTGTTAAAAGATTATCAGAGAAAGAGAAACCAGGACAGATATCATCAAGATGGTACCATATCTTTCTTGAAATTCAGGTGTACTTTGTAAGAACTCCAGTCCTGGATGAGTTGCCAAAAGTTCTCTAAGTACAGGTTTGAAGTCCTCCTACAGTAAAGTTGGTTGAAAGATATTGTCATAATAAAGAGTGTTATAGTTCATCAGCTAAATATTTGAATTTGCATGCAAATTTTTTTCTTTGACAGTCACATTAACAGATCCTCTTTTTTTGGTGTTAAGATATATTGACTGGAAAAAAGCAAATAAATTGGGCAGTGAAATTCAATTTAAACGCAAATTTAAAAAAAGCACCTGTGTCAGATACTTGTGGTATCAGCTCTTTAACTGATTGATTCACTAATTTCTGATATAACTGCTAGCCTGAAGGAGGCACATGACAAGGTGAAGCCCTTATTTCATTTTCACCTTCCTCCTGGTTGCCACCTTTGGTGATAACAGTTCATACTTTGAGATGTTAACTCCACTTAATGCTACACCTACTGTTTTTTTGTACTAGTGGAACAAAGCAGACTGTGGGCAGCTTTGGCTTCACCCACATTACATCTTACCCAAGAAAGGCAAGAATGAGGCCTTGAGCCTTTCTAACAGAGATCCCAAGCAAATGCGAACCTGATCGATGCAGAATATATATGAAAAACAACACAAATTTCATATTAATGTTCGATATTTCAATCAGCTTAAAACAAAGTAACACACTTGTCTGTAAATATTATCTTTATCTAGCAGTTCTGCCGTCCTCAAGTTTTTGCTACTGTTTAGTCTCAATTCTCTTACTACTTTCCTGTTTAAGCATGCAAAGAGGACTTTCGATATGCCTTTGGCAAATAGTGTTGTCATTTCTTTAGTTATACAAGTGTGAGGAATCTGGGATCGAAAGAAATGTGACATTAATATGCATTTTAACAACACTAAATCACGTTTGGAATGAAAGTAAAAGAAGAACCTGAATGCATTGATTCAATGCCTCCAATACCATCACTCGAAACTTTATGGTTGGTTCCTACAAGAAGAGTGCAAGCAATGGCATTTAAGTATATAATATAAAACCATTCATGCATGGATTGCTGTTGGTACAATGGTTCAGAGCTTCAAGATCCATTCATGCATGGATTGCTGTTAAACGAAGACACGTATGGCCATGGCATCCAGCCAGTGCTTAACAATGCGACAGTTGATGATATGTTCCAACCAGAACTTAAGTTTGAGGATCAGATCACAGTCTCGGGATTTGCTGAGTTTTTCTCAGGAGGATTCAACGTAAGTAGCAACGATATAATGTATGATGAACTGTACCTTAGAAGAAATTTCAGGGAAGAATAACGAACTTCTAAGTTCTAATTACACTGTTAGAGATCAATAATGGAGACAATAAAACACGAAATCAATTATGTTCAAATTCAGAATATTGAAAGTCTGTAAGAAAAAAAGGTCTAATTAATTAGCAGCTATTCTTCTGTATCTATCTGTACACATTCAAATGCAATAATTGGAGACCTTAAACTAGAGGCATATCTGATCTTTTGCATCATTTCATTGAAGCAGTATAACAAAACAACCTTAAAACCAGTCATTGGAATTCTTCCCTGTGAACAGAACTACTCCACAGGAGAACAACAGCAACAACAACGAGTATAGTGACCGGTGTCCATTTCAGAGCAATAGTCTAATAAAAAAAGAACAAATGTTAAACCTTAGCTTGAGCAGGGTTATGAACCTTAGTATCATCATCCATACATTCTCGCGTACCTCGAGATTTTTAGACCGCCAGATTGGAGAATCACTCAGATTGGCTGCCATCATAGTCTCCAGCATATCTGGTAGCAGTGGTCAAAGTGAATTCCCACACTGGACATTATAAAACTGATGAAAACAGGAGCAAGAACATAAAGATTGAATAATGGTAATTAGTCTCACCAAGCCTTGTATCAACATATTACCTTCTGATATTACCAGTGATGGTATCTGCAAGGCAAAATGGTCAAATTCAGTGTTCTTTTCTGGCCTCAAACCATGATTTCTCAGCATCAAGGAAAGGACCACAAGGAAGTAAACCAGTCTAGGTTGCCCGAAGGCCAATAAACTGCTCATGTTAGGAGTCAAACTTGTAACCTTGTAGTTACAAGTCAACAATAACAAGTCAACATAATCATTATCATATATGCATTATATGTACATGAAGGCATCTACGAGAAGACAGTAACAAATGTGATGATGTAGATACAAATAACAGTAAAGGAATAATAAGGGTGATACCTAGATGATATCCAAACAGAATTGCTCCCAAACAAGCAACACCAACACATGGCAACACTGAACCTGATGATTTCCCTTTCCCTTTGAGGGGTGCAACTGCTTCAATGTCTCCTTCTGTTATTCAGGATCATAGATTATAAACAACTTTAACATTGACATGTTAAAAACAAAAATACAGTACTTTATTAACTCAAAAAGTTAAAGATCATCTTAGGAGCAATTTGGTAAGCCATTTGGAAAGTAAAGCAAAACAAGGGCACAAAACAATGTGCAAGGCTCTCACATCAAATCTAAACTAAAATAAACAATTAATAATAAAATTTCTAAAATATATTACAAATAAATAAAATAAAATTAAAAACTTTAAAAATAAAAAAATTCATGTGTACCTTGCGGTCGACAATGCGGAAGGAGACCGGGAGCGACCTTGCGGGCGGCGTCGACGACGGGGACAGCGTGGACCGGTAGCGGCGGCGGGGCTGGAGACCGTGGCGGAGGCGACACTGCGGCGGCGATGGAGAACGACGACACGAACGGCGGTGACCGATGGAGCTACAAGAAGCCGACGAACGACGAGAAGATGGAGCGACGGTGGCTGTGGGGACGACGGAGAGATGTAGAGCTTTTTGGGGAAGACAAGTCTATGGAGGGTGCGTATATTTGGGGAAGACGACGTTCAAAACCCTAATAATATTAATAATAAAAAATAGAGGGCGTCCAAAGTATATGCGTTTTGGACGCCTATTAGTGTTCAACATACCAGGCTTTACATTGGGCGTCCGAAGTTACTCAACTTTGGACGCCCATTGTTTTATTTTTATTTTTTAAAAAAGAAATTAATTATATAGTGCCATTTAATTACAAAAATGTCACTGTCTTCCACATTTCGCGTCCAAAGTTTAAACTTTGGACGTGAATTATTCAATTTTATTGATGTTTTTTGTACTAGTGACGAAAGATGATGGTTCTCATGTTGTCCTGCCAGTTGAACAAATGACGAGAAAGCTGAGGATCATCAATCAGACAAAACTGAACAAAAGAACACTCCTCGAAAGGAAGATCATGAAGCAAATCAAGATGAAAGAAGTAATGATGAGAAATCTGATGAAGCAAATGACACTGATGGGAACAATGATGAAGATAAAGAAAATAATGAGGAAGATGACAAAGATGATGATAGCGATGATGGTGACAGTGATGATGATTCTGATGATGATAATGATGATGACACCGACGGATCTCCCATCATTGGAAAATCAGTAATGCTTCCTCCTACTGATCAATACTCTCCACCGAATGGTCGAAACGAATGGACACCGAGATCAGCTCGTGATGGCAAAAAGGAAGCATCACCGAGTGCGAGACATGGCGTCTCCAGTCGAAAGGAGCATGGCATTCAAACTGATATCTCTGAAGAGATGGAATATCTTGATGCTCAAGCCTTCTTAACACTTCTTGCGAACACAGTCATTGCGCTCAAACAACAACATCAACGGTACAATGAGCAACGTCAAGAAGATGCTGAAATGATGGAGCACTTGTCTTCCCAAATGACCCTCATCTCGGCATAATTATCTTCCATGCAAAAGGACCAACAGAAGGTGCAACCGACCGTCCAACAAGTACAACAACCTCCTGATCTCAGTCACCAGACCGAACTGCTTGACATGATAGCCAAGGAACAACATTCGATCAAACTGTCAAAATTCGGTCTCAAGGAACGAGTTGACCTCTCTTGTTTGAATATTGATACATCTAACAACAACCTCTTCACAATGCCTGACTATCAACTTCAGATTTTGAACTACGTCAAAGATCTCTCGATCAAGGTTGATAAGCTTCTGAAGCCCTCTGATCCTCCTACTAATTATGCCAAAAAGGGGGGAAAAGAGATATAAGAAAGATGAAAATGATGAGGATGAAGGAAGAGGAGAGGGATTTTCAAAAGAAGAGAAGAAGGAACTGTAGAAGGAATTTTCGACAACAAAAACAAGACACCCCCTCCATCAAAGTCTCGGCAACACACACCTTCAAAGTCTCGACAAGAAGCACCTTCCAAGTATCGTTGATTAAGACCTCGTTCATCCTATGGTTCAAAATCCATTTACTCATTTGCAGGACTATCTCACCGAGACAAGAAGAATCTTCGAAATAGGCTGATGAGGGATAACAATGTGACCATGGATGGATCTGGAACATTCGTCCAGTTTAAAGAATACAAAAGAGGAAGTGGCAAAAGATTTGAAGGTTGTAATTTTCCAATCTGGCTCAAGAAGAAAAATAATGACACAAGGTAAGATTATCAATAGAGAGAAAATGAGAAAATAAGAAAGGAGAATGAAGCTCTATGGCTTGAACAGGAAGAAGCCAAAAATATGAGAGAACGAGAGCTTATTCGTTATCAAGAAACACAAGAAATGATAAAGGATGTTTTGAAAATTGGAAGGGATGCAGAGATAAGTACCAAATACGACACCGTGTTCAAGGTCCACAGAGAATCTGGCAAGCGCTATGTAGAAGGAATGAACTCCATAGAGCTCGGGACTTGGAGGAATCATGGCATTGTACCAGGACGAAACATTCTAGAGGCTTATAAGAACTACATGAGCTATAACTTTGGAGAGAAGTATGAAGGTTTAGTTCGAGAAAACCCACTCCGAGACGTCAGAGATTCAATCAACAACGAACTAGACTTCGACAATATGCTCCAGAAGCAGAAGGAACGAGATGACAAAGAAAGAATGGAAGCACAACAGGTGAAACAGAATCTTTTAAACATGTAATAATCTAGTTTAATCTTAGTACTCTTTGATCTGTAATTTGCATTTTATAAATGAAAGTTCGTTTTTGCATATTTTGTGAGTACTTCCGGTCTTTGATTTTAGCAAGGTTAATAGATCTTCAAGTAAACTCATCTATAGGGATGTTTTGTAATAAAATTTCCTTTAAAGGATATCCTTCAGCCTTGTGGTAAGAGTGTAGGTTTTGGCATCATCAAAAAGGGGGAAACTGTTAAGAACAAGTGTAATTAGATTTTGATGATACCAAACTGTCTAGGATTGTAGACCCCTATTTTTCCTTCCTTAGATAAGTCTCGTGTAACAGACTCATGAGGTGTACAAATCTTGCTCGAGACTAGCATAATAAGTCTACATGAAGGCTTGAAGACGTCAAGATGATCGAAAGATGCTTCCAAGCGAAAGATGGATTGAGCAAGTCTCGGATAGTCTTCTTTGACAAAAAGGATCTCTCATCTAAGAGAAATGACGAAAGATAAGGTCAATCTTTCGACCAACATCTTTGAGTAAAACAAGTCAAAGACAAACTTGTAAAAGACAACGTTCATTCAAGTGAAACAATGAGAATGTTGTCTATAACTTAGATGGGCAAATCATTTGGACAAAAAGTGTCCTAGGAATGATCTTCACAAAAGACAAGGAGCATTAAAAGACTTGTACCATCTTGTCAGAGAACAAGGACAAAAGCCATAATGTTTTTGGCTCCAACGGCTACACAGCACAAGTGCATTAAATGTTCAATGCCCACTGGTTAATACTCACTGGTTATTAGGCTTGGAATTTTCATCTCCCTCCAACGGATGGATTTTTCCACCTATAAATACCTCTCTTCACCATTGAAGAAGGTGTTGCTTATTTCACTCTTGCTATCCAAAGAAAAGCTCTTCAAACAGTTCCATCTCCTAAAGCTTTTCATAACCAGTGATCTTGTGAAGTTTTTTCCAAGGCATATTCATTTCCATACTTCACAACTTGAAGCAGTCTTGTAATTTCTCAAGTGAAGATTCATCCAGACTTCAGGACAAGGCTTCAACCTGTTGGAGAAACATCAGATTATCTTCCCAACATCTCAACTTAGGAAGAAGTTGATAGAGGCGGACTAAACTCGAGGTAGTGTTATTATAACACGACACAGACTTTCTTTCAATCATACACCCGTTGTGTCCTTGATTCTTAAAAGGTTTCCAACCCGCGCGTTGACGTTGCGAATATTTTCCAACAACTACAAATTTCTTTTATCACTAAAAATAAATAAATATTTTGACAGTGACGTGGCTGGAATTATCCGTTCTGAATTTTCTCCTATATGCATTGTTGTTTCTAAGTCAACATTCAAGTCTTCGCACACTAGACACATGGAAAACTAAGTTCCAAAGCCGTCCGTCTTGACAAGTTCCGCATAAAGACAAAAAAAAAAAAAAGAATAAATAAAGAAAAAAGTTCAGTGTACAATGTAAATATAATTTTGTCATCCAACACAAAAGAATTGTAATTTGGTCATTCAACTGATCAAAATTATGCAATTTGCTGTTATCACATTTGTGCATGTTTTTATAGTTATTTTGAATCATATCAGTAACTAAGTTCTTTAATCTTGCTTATTTAATACGTGTTTTCCTTGCTTTCTCGTTAGAATATGGTTTTACACTTGCTTTGAATGTCTTACGGTGTTTGGTAGTGTTTTTTCACCATTACAGGCTAAGTGTAAAAGCAAGGGGAGATTTTCAAGCATGAATGGATCAAAAAGATCAAGAAGTCAAAGCATCAAAGCCTCGACGCGTCGAGAATTTCCAGTAGCTATAGATCATGCCAAATCAGAGGCTCGACGCGTCGCGTCGAGAATGCGGAATGCTGAATTTTGGAACTTTCCTAAATTAATCCCATTGGGTTTCCACTATAAAATGATCATCTTCCATCAACCCTAGGGCACTTTTTTTTCCCAGATTTTGGTATTGGAAGGCAACGAAGAGCAAGAACCAAGAGGACCAATTTGAAAATTTACAGTTAGCTTTGGAGTAGAGAATTGGCTAGGAAGATTCGGGAGAATTCTTTCACTCTTTCTCTTATCCCTATTGTTGTTTGTTTATCTTTCAAGATTGTATTGATTGCTATTATGGCAATGAGTGGCTAAAACCATTAGGGATTTTTGGGTGAATTTGTTTATGAACCTATGTGCCTAGTTCTTTAATTTCTTAACATATTTATTATGTTTGGTTTTATGATTTGTGTTGCAATCTTGTTTTAATCTGTTGTTGCTAGTAATTAAAGGCTTAAATTACTTGCTTCATAGCCATATTCATGTCATAACGATAGTTAGGCATAAATTAGGGAACACACGATTGCACTTGACTGTTGCACCTTGAGAAAGGGCAACTTGGTTGGGGAAATTATTCTAGATTGTTGCGCATCGAGAGATGGTAGTAATTGGGAATAATTGAATGCTATTCTTTGTTCTTATTGAGTGTTTAAGCCACGAGAGTGGAAATTCACTAGAGATAGAGATTACGAGAGTAATTCTATTCCACTTTGCATTTTCACACAAGTCTTAATTCCAAACTAAATATTACAAACTTTAATTGGCACTAGGTGATTAAACATTGTGATTCCAAGAATCCTGCTTTGCTCTATTGCTTACAACACCTTGTTAATTAGTTTATTCTGCCTTTTATTTTCTACAATTATCCAATCTTCAAGTTTCGTTCAGATTAGTTCCGTATGAGTAACCAAGTAGCTAGTTCTTAGTACCATATCTCCCTGTGGTTCGATAACCCAAATACTCCGAATATTATTTGTTTGCCCCAAATTACCACAATCACAATTCAATTAAAATGATGACTTATTCCTTTTAATTATTTTTGATGTGGTAATCATCTTATTAAAATTTATTTTAATAAAAATAAATAATCACCTCTTTCCGTCTTCATCAAGAAGAGGTTTCTTTGTCTCTAGTCAAGGACGAAGAAGTTTCTTCGTCTCCGATCAAAGATGATGATGTTTTCTTTGTTTCCGACTGGTGATGAAGACAGAAAAGGTCGTGCTTTTCCATTTTTTTTGAAATTAATTTTATTTTATTTAAAATTATTAACATAAATTTTTTTAAAAAAATTTATAGTATTACCGTCACGTCACTATTAATTGGAGGATAATGTTAATTTTAGTTGAATTGTATAATTTTAACAGTTCAAGGAGTCAATTGTAATTTTAAGTTGGATGACCCAATTATATATTTTCAAATGTGGTTTGATGATTAATTTAATTTTTTTCATAAATAAATAAAAAAATAAAACTTCAGTTATTTAGTGATGGTTTCAACAACTAACATTAAATACGTGATTCGCATCAGTTGTTAAAAATGATGCATGATCTTTATTTATTTATTGTTATTATTTTTTTTTTGTAGTAACACAAATTCTTAACTTCAATTTTGTAAAATCGATGTGATGCGCATTAATCTTGTCATAGTTGGACTATTTGTTGTGCAGCGGCGGAAACACGGGAATTCAGCATTCTATCATCAAAATGTAGATTGACTGCTACATAAGTATAATGAAATAAATTAAAGTTGTGTATTCTTTATTAACTATAACTTTTGGCATAGTGATAAGTGCTTGATATGGCAATTGGTATCAGGACAGATCATGAGTGCTCCGGTGTCAGGAGGGGGATTGTTAAGTGGCAGCTCGAAGAGACGAGTCTAGCATCCTGTCATTCAAACGTAATACTGACTGCTACGCAAGTATAAGGAAATAAAGTCTCACATTCGCTATTAGCTATTTGCGTAGTGATAAGCGTTTAATCCTGACACTTAATTAGCTTGAGCAAATTGGTCAGTCAAGAAAACTATACGAGTAGATTACAGAATTGAAGTTAATTTTTCAAAAAAAAAAACATATTAATGTTATGTTAAAATCTTATCTGGCCTCGTGGCACTACTTTAGTTAGTTCTACCGATCACCCTAAAATCTAGCTCCAACTGTAGTGTGGGGGTTTGAATCCAATCAGGAATCTACTAGGGCGTCAATGTGAGTTCTTGATTGATTAGAAGTGATGAAGAATCCTTGTCGACATAGTATATAGGCAAGGGGTGGGAATTTGGGGACTTACGCGACAACTCGCAAATTACCTCCTCCCTTGACTCTTGGACAAGAGTTCCAGAGACTTATAAGAGCATGCATCCTCAATAGTTGTAGATTTTGATGAGTTTTTGTAGGTGTAACTATGAAACACAAGATTGGAAGGAAGGGAAAAAGGAAAAAAAAAAAACAAGTAAAAACAAAATTTGAAATAAAAAATAATAAAAGCTTCAGGGGCGCGCGGAGTGCACGCGCCCGGCTAGGGGCTAGGTTTGTATCTCACGCAAATCGTGCTTTGCTTTTTTATTTTGTTGGTGGGTCTCACTCTAGATCCAAAAATCAGGTCATTATCTAGTGAAAAATTATCTAAAAATTCTCCCCCATTTGTTAAAAATCATGATTCAAATTTTTAGATATAAAAAACTACTTAAAATTTACTATTGTGGATGCTCTAAAAATTAATCTGGTATAATAGTTAGAAAACCTAATGTATAAAATATTGTCTAAACTCTAACGGAGTTCCACTTATTACCCTTTAGTCTTTACTTTACTGAACGTTTGACGGAGAAATACTCCATTGCATAGGTACCTTACTAGACTTCACTTTGCTAATTAAGTTCGATTTGCATTATACATTTATACTGACCTGTTTTGAAGATGACCATACTGTGCTTAACACATCCTCGGCAAGGTAAGGTAAATTATTTAATTCCAGCAATGATCCTCCGATTATATTGATTTTTTAAAATTAGTCCTCGATTTTTAATTTGGACACTTTAGGTCCTTTAATTTTCAATTTCTTTTCAATTGAGATCCTTTTGTCAGAATATGGTTAATTGGATTATTTTAAATGAAGGGATAAACTCGTCCTTTCACCAGTCAATGTATTATTTTTTGTATTTTTCCTTTTGTATTTCGCTGCTATACCTTGTAAACATCTCAATAATGGAGAAACGCACACACGAGCAGTCATCAAATGGGGAGTGACGAGGAACATTTTAGGACTTCGACTGAGGTTATCTTCATATATATTGTGTATACAAGGAAGAAATATAAAGAATAATACATAGGCAGGTGAAAGGACGAGTTTACCTCTTCATTTAAAGCCCAATTAACTATATTCTAACAAAAAAGACCTCAATTGGAAAGAAATTAAAAGTCAAGAGACCTAAAATGTTCAAATTAAAAATCGGGACTAATTTTAAAAGATCAATATAATTGGAAGACATTTAATATTCATAGTAGACAAGCTAAGCACAATTATATATATGGAAAGATACATGAGAGGAATAAGTGCGATAAGCAAATATATATAAGAAAGCAGTACAATAAATTAAAGTTGAGATTTTGTGCTCATGTAATTTGCTTTCTTATTTATTTTCATCTTAAAGCTGGGCGGCGGCCGTTTAATTGGACGGCTCCGGGGCCGGGGGTTTACAGTAGCGATCGTAGACGCTGCATCTTCGTGGGTGGGGATCTCTTGGGTTGCCAAAACAGTTGTGACTCTTAGGATTACACATTATGGGTTTCGGAGCGGAAGCCGGACTCAATATCATCCCATAACTTACTACACGGCCCTTTGCCGTTGTGTCTCCTGCAACTGATGGGGTAAGAATTATTAACTCTGTTCATTCTTATTTACTATTCATTGGTAAAAACGTTCTAATTAAAGAATAAAACAAAAGATCAATATGTGATTATTCGTGGTAAGTCAATCAATTTATGCTTTGTTTGACGTTAAACGGATATTTGGAAGTTAAAAAATTAAAGACATTAGGACAATCTTTAGTCAACTTAGTCGGATTGTTAATATGGTAACAATATAGTTATAAGTTCAACTCTCAATGAGCCGATTCTTTACCAAGTAGAGTCATAAGGTGGGATTTTTTTAGTCAATGAATAGTCTCCATAGTAGTTGTGAGTTTTTCTTATCACTCAAAAAAAAATATTTATATAATATTCTTTGTTTATTCCATTTTCTATTTAAATTAGATTCTTATACCCTCGAGATTCAATCAATAAATCAAATATATTGTAAAAGTTAAAAAGATGAGAATGAATAGTTCTGAAGCTATTTTATTACAGTACATTTTAAAATGTTTGGTAAAATTGAACTGTTGAGTAAATTAACATATGTAAAAAGACCCAAAAGACATCTTTGTATACGTCAATGTGTTACACCGTTTATCTTATATTTAATTTTGAAAAGAAATATTTATTTAAGATATATATATATATATATATATATATATATATATAATTTATTTAATAATGTGTAATTTTGAAATGATGTACATATGAATTTTATGTGGAAATTGACAAAAATTAGGTTTTAGGCCATATTTGGTAAATGACTATTAGTTAATTGGGTTAATTATAAGGTATAATTAGTTGATAACATTAGCTGATTGTAGAAAGGTGTTTGGCAAATTAGTTATTAGCTGATAGTTGTTTGGTATAATTTTTTTTTTTTTCTCAAAAAGTTAATTGAAAAAGTTTCATTGAGTAGTTTTTTGAATTTTAACCGTTTGAAGTTACAAAAAGCTAATTAACCAAACACTTATATTGATTTCTTAACCAAGTCAAACAGTTAATAGTGGTCAAATAAGCAAAAATTTACCTATAGACTAACTATTTTATCAAACTGGGCCTTTTATGTCAGGCAGAAAAAGAGTGTTTTTTTTTTTTTTGTAACCTAATAGAGTTTGTAAATGAAAAAATTAAAAGCTCAAAACTCATTAGATTAAACATTATAGAGATAACGGTTCAAATAAGTTCCTATTTTAAATGCCAAGCACTTTGTGCACAGGTGGCATCCGAGTTGGACGCTCATATGAAAAGTTGCGAGTACGAGTCTTAGTGGAGGTGTTATTGGGTTTTTGTGTTTTAGTAGGTTGAGAAAGTAATTATAAACAGATACTACGTTGTAATAGAGTCAGTAGCATTAAAAAAAAAAAAAAAAAAAACTCCTATTTGAAATACATTTTTATTTACCAAACAGATGAAGCTGACATGTGTGTGCGTAAAATTTATTGAAATCTATAAATTCAACTAAACAAAACATTAAAGATAATTAAAAAAATATCAATGTCGAAAATTTTATAATCTGATGACATAAATATAGAATAAGAATGAGAATTGAAGTAGAAATTTCACCTGACAATTTTCGAGCACATGTTAAGGGTGAAAGAAGAAGTGTTGTGATCAAGAGAAGTATAAAAGAAAAAGAAAATGGCTTGGAGTTCATGGCTTATATACTATATATATTGGAATATTGGATATATGTGTACTGTGTAGATTTGTGTATACAAACAACTGAACTGACCTCCCTTTTATAGGGCATACTATGCACTGATGATGAGGAAGATGAAAGATCCACTTGAACAATGTTAGGTGAAATTATTGAATGTCAAATTTAATAATAGAAAAAAAATTGTACTACTTTTTTTTTTTTAATACTATTGACTATTACAATGTAGTATCTATTTTATACTTTCTCAAATTACTGCAGCTCAAAGAGTCAATACCCCACTACCAGGGTTCGATCTTATGACATTCCCTCATGACCGTCAGGGGATGAGTCACATAGGAGTCATCTGAGCACAAAGTACTCGGCAAATTGTACTACTTCTGATGCCACATTAGTTGTTTTACTCTCTAAGCTAGTTCTAGTTTTTTTTTTTTTTTTTTTTTTTAATTTAAATTTACGGGGAATCGAAGTCTGTATGGTTCACTAGTGCTTATAGTTGACCTGCTCAAATCAAGAAGGACAAACACTTCTCATAGAGAGGGAAACTTGCAACCTTGTGATTACTAAATCAACTATCTAACTAACTTGACTCTAGTTCTACATGTAACAGGATCAATAGTACTCAAAAAACTAACTTGACTCTAGTTCTAAATTCCTGTCATTATAAGAAATACCAATAAATTTACCAACGGATAAATAGCTACAGTTTAAATACCTAGTGTTTTAATTACGAAAATCTATTTGTAAATTAAATACATATGGATTGTAGTAATTTATTTACAAATTTTTATAATGTTAAATTTATTTTTGAGTAAAAGACATTTTTGTCCTAAACTTATAGTGGCAAAGACACTTTTAGTCCTTCATAAAAAAATCAGATAATTTGTGGACACTTTTATTGTGACGAGGACAATATTGGTCCTTCGTCACTTATGTCGTTAGTTGACTGTCTAAATGAGGAGCATTTCTGTCAATTCAACTTAAACGACCCAGAAGGCAACATAAATGAATTGAAGCTATTTGCTGCAGATCTCCAATCCAGCCAATATAATCCAGTTTTTCTTGCCTTCATCATGTGCCAGTCTGGAGTTTTCACATGCTGCTCTGCGGCCTCTCTTTGCTTCTCTTCCGGCACCGGCACGAAGATACCAACCCCGTCAGTCTTCTAGTAAGTGGCGATGATCACCATCTCAATATTCTCAGCAAGAAGGAAATGAGGTTTCTATTGGATCTTATATCTGAAAGAGCCCCTGCAATATCCTGGTTTTTGGGCTCAAAAGTCAATACTCAGGTCTCATTTCAATGCTGAATGTGGGTGGATTCACACTCTTTCTTGAGGACAATGATGATAAGATGAAAACAGAAACGATGATGATCAGTATGAATAAGAGTCGAGTTAACAAGGTGGAGTATCACACACGTGCTGAAGATGCATATAAGCTTCTCAAAGATGCAAGGAAACACCCACAACTCTACTCACCATTAGTTAGCATTAGAAGTAATAGAAGTAGCAACAGAAGAAGAAATAGAAGGTGCAAACTGGCAAACACATTGTTAGCAAGGCTTTCACAAGAGGTTTATGAGACAGATTGGGATGTGGTGGCGGTGGACGAACCTTCAAATGACTCCGTTTATTTTATAAATTTGTAAACATTTATGAAAATGACTCCGTTCTTTCTTTACTTGATTTTCCATCCATCAGATCTTGTAGATCAATGGTTCGGATTTGTTCACAAGTTCTCACATGGGAAGTGGTTCTCATATGATTAGGATCCTAAAGTAGTATATAGGTCCATAATCAGGTGAGATCCATGTCCCATATCAAAATTTGTGAGCAAATTTAATTCAACTCATTGATCAAGTTGATTTAATAGTTTAAAATAAACAATACATGTCACATTTTGAAAATTGAAGGACAACATTTACACCACTAATAATTCAGGAGTGACATTGATAATTAGCATATTTGTGAGCGGCATAAATTACAATTTTCTCAATAAACTATTTGGAATGGAAAAAAAAAAAAAAAGATGAATCGTATATGCACAACTATATATATTGTGAGAGTAAAAGTGAAATTTTAATTAACTTTGCATAGTGTGTAGGTTCATATATTGACAGTGGCGGGGTCCTTGAAATATCTGTTGTGAATATAATGCTCTCTTTGATGCATGCATTATTTTTGCAAGTCATTAAGTGTTGGCACAGTAGACATTCATTCATTGTCTCCTGGCTGGCATAAGACAGTGCAAAAGCTGTTGGTCTCCACAAGTCAACGCAAATTCTTCACTCCCGTTTTTTACTTGCATCTCCAATAGCTTTGATTTTTTGTTACAATTTTTTGCCACATAAGGAGAAGAGAAAAATGAGCAAAAAAAATAAAAAATAAAAATAGAAAAAAAAAATCTTTTACGCGTCAATGCAAATGCGCTAATGAATAATTTTATTTTTCTGCGGGACTCACAAAAAATTCAATTAATACAAACACAAAATTTTCACTCTTCTCTTCCCTCCACGGCTCCATCTCACCTTTTTTCTCCCCCGGCCACCAAGCAAAAAACACTACTGGAAATTATGAAATTTTCGACTATCTAAAAGTAATGTTAAATCAAGTCAAAAGCCTTGTTCCGACCACTTTTGGTATCTGGAAAAATCTTTATTGCTATTTCCGATCACATTTTAGTATCAACTTAATTTAAAATCACTTTCAAATGGTCGGAAATTCCATAATTTTCAGTAATAAAAGCCCTTAAAAAGTATTGATAGAGATGCGGCCCTTATTGCTAGTAAAAACCCTTTAAGGCAATATAATATCGATTAGTGGTCAAATAGGAAAAAAATAAAAAATACAAAAGTTAAGTTATTGCTAGTTGGCGACCGTTTGACGCGCACAAGGGGCTCGCAAGTCACGCCCACACATGATTTCTTTGATTTTTTTTACTCTAAACAAAGGCCCCGTTTGGTAAATAGTTATCCTATCATTTAATTTTAACTTATTTGACACTATTAATTGTTTGACTCATTAGTTTTTTGTAACTCTAAAATGCTAAAATTCAAAAAGCTACTCCATACAACTTTTTCAATTAACTTTTTGAAAAAAAGAAATTATATCAAACAACTATTAGCTAACAATCAATTTACCAAACACCTTTCTACAATCAACTAATGTTATCAATTAGTTATACCATCTAATTAACCCAATCAGCTAACAGATAACAACCATTTACCAAACAGGGCCAAAACTCCATTAATACATACTAAAATTGAATTGGTTGTCAAAATTAATGTCCAACATGCTATGCGGTTATGATGTGGAAGAAGCTAGCACAAGTAAAACATTACGTGAAATTATTGGATATAATCATAAAGCTAAAAAAAATAAAGCTGTCCTTCAATTCATGCATTATTCTTCTTGCAACTTGTAAGTCAATGTCTAAGTCTTCGCACATTATAGTAGACATGGAAGGACCAAGACTGTCTTCACAACTCTACGTAAATTCCTAGCTTCTCATTCACTTTCTAATTTTGATGGAAATATATCACTCATATATTTTGCATCAATAATAAAAATCATGTATGAATCATTTTTTAATAGTTAATAAAATTTTATAATAAATAATTTTTTAGACAAATTCTCCTATGAAATTAAACCGTCTCATAGATCCTCATCCGTGAAATAGATCGAGTTTTTGATAAGTATTATATTTTCACGCATAAGTATTACAATTTTCATTATAAGTAACTCTTCAATTCTTAATAATATATTTTGATTTAAAAATACTACAAATTTCATCAAAAGTATCACATTTTTCGTATATGTATTACACTTTCTCCCATAAATAACAACTAAACAATTTATCTAGGATTAGTATTATATTTTTTTCTCATAAATAAGTATTCAACCCAAAATATTACATTTTGATTTAAAAGTACTACATTTTTATTCAAACGTGTTGCATTTTTCCTTATAAGTAACAAACAATTTATTATTGATTAATATTACATTTTTCAGCATAAGCATTATATTTTCATAATGACTCGAACCATCTCACATATACGGATTCATGAGACCCACTCTTTTTTTTTTTTTTTCAAGGTAACACCTTTTTAAGTCAGTAATTACTACTCGAAGGTGTGCTCCAAGTGAATTCATGCCTTGTGACCTTAGTCAACAAAACACCACAAGAAGGTAAATCAATCTAGGTTGCCTAGAGGTATCAAAGTGACATTATTGTGTGGACTATGGTTCACACAATGTTGTATGGACCATAACAAAAAGTACATTTTTAATATACTGAAAGTACATTATTCATGTATTGAATGTACATTATACAAAATAATGTACTTTCAGTATTCAAATAATGTACATTCCTTGAATACAATGTACATTTTAATATACTAAAAGTACACTATTTGTGTACTAAATGCACATTATTTGAAAGTATAATCCACACAACTGTGTAGACTATGGTCCACACAATAATGATTTTGTCAAAGTACAGTGGGCCAAAACTCGGGGGCCAACTCTTAGTGAGGTACAATCGTTATACCCTACACCACGGCGCACATAGCACTGTGCGCCCCGCGCCCCCCAAAACGATGTTGTTTTTGTAAGTTATGTAGGGAGTTGACGCGATTATGTACATTTTTTTATACAATTATGTACATTTTTTTAATACAATTATGTACATCCGAAATAGGGAATTTATGTGTATTATGTTAAGAGTTTATGTGTATTATGTATTATGTTAGATTATGTGTATTATATTTTTTAAAAAATATGTGTATTTTGTTATAAAATTATGTACATTCTAGTATACAATTATGTACATTTTCAAGCATGAGAATTTTTTTTTAAAGAAAATTAACAACCGACACTATAAAACGGAATTTAAAAAAAAAAAAAAAAAGTAATAATAATTCGAAACGAAGTCGTTTTGCACCAGGATGCACAATGCAATGCGCACCATGGTGCATGATATAAATTGTCCAGTGAGGTAGGTTAGGGCCATGAAAACTATGGATAGATAAAACGTGAGTCTAGCCCGCAA